GATCTTATTGTTTCACAGCATTTGGACAACACCTTGTTCAATTATTCTTATATGCTTATAATATGTCGCTTCTCATAAAAAATTTATAATATTAGGCATTTATGTAATTCACGGGGAAAAAATTGAAAAAAAATTTTTTTGTTTTTTTTTAATTTTCCTTTCCTCAGTGAGTCCATAGAATTCCAAAAATAAAATTTGGAATATAATGTAATATACATATATCTACTTATAATTCTTACACATCTTATCTTTTCTTAATATATAGATATACATAAGTATATGTACATTTAGTTACATATATAAAACATAAATATGTATATATAAGTATATATGCATATAAGTACGTATATAAATCTATTTGATTTAGTTTTATTTTTATATTTATTTTATTTTTTTGCTCTTAAATTTTATGCTTCGTGTTTTTAAAACAGCATAAAATCGAATTTAATTATGTGTTCGTCAGTATAATAAAATTCAAATTTCGATTACAATTATTTCTAATTTGACCACAATATCATCTTATACAACAAATCTTTATCAGTAATTTAATATTTATTATATTTATTAACGCTGATAAGCCTGATGAATAATAACTATATAGTTAATGCTAGCCTTTTCGATTTTATAACTAATATAAAGTATAATTAATAATTCTGAGACTGGTGCCAGATTTTGGTTCAAATACTCAAGAAATTAAAGTATGATTTTATGATTTTTAAAAAATACATTATTGAATTTAATTTTGTAATTAAAAAATATATTTGAATTATTCAAATTATTTTGTTTTTTGAGTGCACGGCTACTTATTTATTTAATGAAATTGTAAAATTTGTCAAATTTTAACAAATTTCAATTAAACTCGATTGAATTCAAATTTTAGTATTTACAATTTTTAAAATTCAGAAGTACTTTTTAATTAAAATTTCCTTCAGAATGTAAAACAACTAAGTGTTAATTAAGTAGTAGTTTGGACTCCTGCTAATTTAGTCAATAAAATCGAACTTTCCCAAGTAAGATGTTTGAAATTAATCAAAATTCATTTAGTTAAAAAAAATATTATTTAAAATATTATTTTTCAGCACATACTTTGTAATTATACTTAAAAATTAATTGATTTTTCAATATAAATACATATGTAAATTTTAATAAAATTTAAAATTTTCAAAATGCTTTAAAATTACTAAATCAACTAATTATTTAGAAAACATAAAAATAATATTTAATTTTTATTTTGACAAATAAATTACAAAATATAAATTTTTCCATTTTTCCCTCGTTAATAAGTTCAATGAAATTTCATTCTTAACAAACGATAGTTTATTTAATATTTACTGTTAATAGTTTAAAATACACTGAATCTTAACAAAATTAAAAAAAAATATATACTTTTTTTTTTACTAATCTTATGAATTTACTTTACAATGTTATAAAAATTTCTATTCAAATGAAATTTGTTTGAAATTTTCAATCCGAAATGCGTTAGTTTTCCAAAGGTCATTTTATATCTAAAAGACCTAGGGAAATCAACAATATGTTTTAAACATATTGTACAATATTAAACCCTATACTATAAGTAATTGTTTAATGATTCAGATTTTTTCTCTGTCATTCACTTAATTATTAACTTTATTTGCTGCATACTTTCTTTTTTTTTTACATTTTCTTTAATATTTTTAAATTCAAAAATAGAATAATTAATAAAACTGAATCGAAAAAGACGATTATATAGACTAAAGAAGGAAAATAATGAAAATAGGGGGGAAAAAATTATAAGTACTCACATGGAATAGAAAATTTTTTTGAAAAATTCTATTATGCCTCATATAAACCCTGACATCCAAAATACAGTATTAATGTAGTATGATATTGTATCTTTGATCCATATTGTAGAATAAAAAAGTTCATGTAGTTTAGCAAAGTTAATTACGTAGTAAGAAAGTAAAGAGCATGATGACAAAAATGGAGAATATGAGTACTTAAATATGTTAAAACAATGTTGCTAAGGTTATTCGTGATAAATTTAACATTTTTATAGCTTTGCTTGGTTCATTTGATATTCATTTGTTTTATAGTAACTAAATTTTTATAGTAATATTGTTTTATAATAATGTTTAACCTTATTTACATTTTTTTTTTTACAATATAATCATTTCTAAAGTTTTACTACAGTATTTATACTGCAGTTAAATTAGAAGCAAAACTTTTTTCACTGCACTTTGGATATCACAGAAATTGCTCATTTTTATTTATCTTGGGCCACAATTAGAATGAAAATAAATAAGTAAGTATTTATTTTGTTTTTTTTATCGACTTGATAATTTAATTGATTATTGAGCGTGAATATAAAAGAGAAGAACAAATAAAGTAAGTGGATAGGTAGGCGCTTAGCTAATCAATTAGATCAAAAATAAGATCTCAATAATTAAATTTAAGCAAGTACAATTTATTTTATTAAATTTTATTAAATTTTAATGCCAATTTGATTCAAATAAAAATTACAAAAATTTTAAATATATTTTTTGCAGACAATGCAACAAATCTTTTTCGTTATTCTTTCTTCAACACATAATTACATGTACCTATAGACTTATCTACTTACAACTTACTTTCTTATTTACTTACAGATTCTACATTAACATTAAAATATAATTGAAATTGAAATAAATGAAAAGAAATTATGTTTTTTTTCATATGTCCTTAGAAATTCGAAATGGGATGGAAATAAAACGCGAGGGTGTAAAAGCAACAACGAGCGCCACTCATACGTTTTTTTGTTGTTTTTTTTTTTATTTTAGTTTTATTTTATTTTTTATTTTTAAATTTCTATGTGGATCGTTTTGCCGGTCATGCTTTTTTATTTTTTATCAGATCAAAATAAGTGCCTATAAAATAGTGTTGTGTATGGTGATGGATTGGTTTTTCAAAATCTTGCTTTTTATTTTAATTTGTTTTCCTTTCTGTTTTTTCTTTTTATTTTAACTAAAATTTAAAAGAAAAAATAAAACTATTTGTGTGCCAAAAATGTGTGTGTTTTCTTTTAAAAATTATTAAGAAAATAATAAAATCTAAAATGAAAATAAAAAAAATATAATAATAATTATGAATTGAATTGTTTTTATATAATTATATTTAATAAAGATACTTATATATATATATTTAGTTGTTCTATAATTATATATACAATGTTTAAAAAATATTAGTTTTATTTTTATATTATTAAGAAGGCATAGGTAACCATATAGGTGGACATAAAAGTATTCTTATCTTTTGTGTTAATAAATTTGCAAATCCACCTACGCATACAAACTGAGATAGAAAATTAAGTAAGTCAACATACGCCTAATAAACGTAACATAAAATTTTGAATTTATTAAAATAAATTTCGTTATTGCTTTTCATTTTGATTAGTACAAAATTCAAGAAGATTGATTATCGTTAGTTTTCGGGTTATTAAAATATAATTGATAAGTAGCTCAGCTAACTTACATTAAAAAGTCACTTATCTCTCTGTGTATTGCTTATTTATTTAATTGCCTTTAGAATTTTTATATATATACTTGATTTAAATATATTAAATAACATATTTTACATAATATCGATCGTATCAAATTAACCATTAGCTATTGGACTATTTCTATTCTTGAATACGTAAATAAATAAAAATTTGATAATTTTATGATGTTTTAAGAAAAAGGTTGTTCTATTAACAAAGGTAAAAATTCGTAATTAACTACTTATAGCTTTTTATTAAAACTACCTATCTATATACAAGGTACCTACTACTAACCGTAATTCTAAAATCATGTTAAAAATTTTCTATCTAAAATAAGCTTGTATTTTGAAAATTCTACTTGAGTATTATGGAATATTATCCTATTTTAACAATTTTGTTTTTCTTCTAATAAGAACTTCTACTTTAATAAGAATCAAAATCATTCGCTTAGTCATCACAAAAACCATTTTATGAAAAATATAACTACACACTTAAATTCCTCGTTTTAGTTTATTTTTTTGTTTGCTTTTTTTTCTCTTTAACACATCACAATTTGATGTATAACTAGATAGGAAGGCACCAAGTTATAGTTTCTTTTTTAATAACTATTTTTTCACATTTCCAATCAAGTGAACACGAAATTCAAATTATTAAGAAACGAATATTTTAAATCTTTCTACATATATAATTTTGAGTTAATTAAATTTAAATAAAATTTTAATACTTTATGTATCTAATTCTTGGAAAGTGAAACTTAATCCCAGTAACTACAGCTTATATAATAATTCTCGAATTAAATTTCTGTATACATATTTGTAATTCACATTACTGCTCAAATAAAGGCATTGTTAAAAATTACTTCAAAAATTACAGTCGATATTATCTTATATAAATTTTATATTTAGGTAAATAAGTATAATTTTGATCCAGATAAAATTTTAATCTGCATGATATGATGTAAAAATAAAGAAACTTTTTCAATATTCTGCTGAAATGTCACTAGAAAGATTATTGTGGAGTAGGTAGGTATTCTTCTTAATATATGAATCAAACAAAAGTTGATAAAACACATCAATGTATAGTTATAGTAAGTACAACTCGATATTTAAATGATTTCTTAACTTTCTTGCAAAAACATGGTAAACTGAGTAGAATCTATATACACTTAATAATTCTTTCATTTTTCTTAGAAAAATTGTTCTCTAAAAATCATTTTGTTGGTCTGCGGTGTTTGATATTCCTAAAACGAGTGTAAGTAATTTAAGAAAAAAATAAAATTAACCAAAAACAAAACCATCAAGTATTATGGTTTCTTGTTATGCATTAAAAAAAATGTGATACAGCTATTGCACTATTTATTAATCATAATAGCATGCATTCGTTACAACCAAATTCATCCTATCATCTGTCACATAAAAATAAAATGGGAAGGAAGATTAATGCGGTTCGGTGAAAAATCAATTTTCTTATTTTCATTTTTTTTTTGTCCTTTTTTCTAATAAAGTACCTTCACTGAAGTCAATTCTTCTGCTGCTGTTGCTGTTTAGTTGTTGCGAAAACTTTTTCTTTTTTTTACTCCAATTGTGTACGTTACGTATTTATTTTCATGAATTTTATTTGGTAATATCCAAGTGAAATGAAAATTATTCCGGCTTATTAAAAACATTCATAAATTCTTGTTTTTTTATATTTTTTTTTTTACTTTTTATTCTAATTTTACGAATTTTAGTTTAGTGTTTTAAATATTATTTTTAACCAAGAAAATTTAATATAGAATTATAATTATAATAGTCAGAGCCACTTCTTGAATTTAATATTTTTATTTCTTTTCTTCTTTTGGAATTAGAAAAAAAATCTTATTCGTGGGCAGCATAACCAAATATAACACAGGGTCGTTTCGCGAAAAAAAACTAATTTTTTTTTTAATTTAAACAATTTCAATTGATTATAGAATACATAATAGATAAAAAAAAACACACAAAATTAAATTTTTCTTAATAAAATGACAGTAAAAATTAATTATTTTTTCCTTTTATTCTCGCAAATGGTTTCCCTTCAACAAATCTTTTTCTTTTCCATTCTCATTTTACTTCATTTTTCCAAATGATATTTAAATACTTATAAATTGCATATCAAAAAAAAAATTTATGAAACAGACTCGGTACTTTTTATTTCAACTCACTTCAAGCAAAATAAAACTAAAATTAAAATTAAAAATTTTATGCTCGCTAAAATATTATTCTCTATTGAATGCACATTTTTTACTTTTTATAATTGAACAATTAATTTTACAAATTCTTCTTTTTTTTTTAAATTAAAATAAAAGGAAAAAAAAATAAAATAAACCCGATCCGACTTTCCTGCTTTTTACAAGTCGACGACTGTGACTGACAGACATGCGCGTCAATCAAATATGGTTGCTCAAGACGCTTTTATTGACAATTCATATTTCAGAATTCAAAAATGTCTGTCATGCGACGCTCTTTGAAAAGAGTCAAATGAATTGAAGAACATAACTGTGAATACAATTGTGAATTAGCAATTTTTTTGATAAATATCTTTATAATTTTATTTAAGAATCAAATACCTTCTTCGTCATTGAAAACTCGAAAAGGAAATTGAAAATCCATGCAAAAAGGTACATATTACTAATAAAAAAAATATATTTTGGCCACACATACTATCAATGACATTAATGTAACTTTCATCAGGTTAGTACATATTAAAACTTGATAAATTCAAAAAAATATTTTAATTCTTATTTGTTTTCTTAAAGGAACCATAGTATCCAGCTGAAAAGGAATTTTTCGTTATATATAAAATCTATGCTAACAATGTGAGACATTTAATGAATGCTTTTCTAAAAGTAGTACGTATTTAGTCTAAAATAAACAATCAATATTATTGAATTCACCAACAGATGGCAGTAGCCACGTTGAAAAATTATTTTCTTACGCAAAATGTACAGGTATTTATTTGTTAAAGATATTATGACAAAATTCCAATATTATCTTAAACTTTTTATTTGAACTTTTGGTTTTTCAAAATTCAATTTTTTTTTTTAATTTATTTAAAGTCAAAAATTTCTTAAGTTCATTAAAGTATAAATAAAAAAAGTAATTTGACAAAGGCATTTTGACATTCAGACGTCGTCGACAATCATTCTCGTCGCTGCTGCAACTCTGTAATAAAGTATCAAATTAATTTTCTGTATTCTAAAAGATAAAAGTTAGCCATTACGAGGTTCTTAAAAAATTTTACCATTTTTTTTGTTTAAAAAAAATTTTTTAAGAATTAAGAATAAAAATCACATTAGCTTTTTATTCTTAATTTTCATTCAGTTCAGTACAGTGTTGCGAGCTTAACAGATTTTGACACTTATTTGAAATTGACGTATTTCAAATCAGTGTCGTGTCAGAGAATAAAAATTTTGAAATAGGTTTTTCTTTGTTATCAAGGATTTTGAATTATATAGTTTTGGTATTTTAAGAAGATTTTAATAATCCAGTCTATGTATTAAGACGTGCAATGCTACAAAAACGGCAACAAAAGAAAAAAAACAACAGGAAATAAACGTCAATAAACTTCGCAAATTTTTGCAAAATCTTTCGCGTCTTTTTTGCAAATCCACACATATTTTCGAAAAGTTATGTAATTTTTTTAAGAATAGATGCATTTATTGAATTTACTATGTATTTATTTTCCAAATATTACAACCAAAAACAAGTGAGTTTATTTTAGCAAATACGTTGTATAAAATTATCATTGACACCTTTCGCAAGTAATAATTGACAAATAACACCCCTGAAATTCGTGAGCGATTGATCCTGTAAGGCTTTGTCATATACCTGAAATCAAAATATAAATTATAATCTTGAATTACTAAAATATATAGGCAAAATTATAAAAATTTTGTATTTCTATTACAAACCGTACTATCTAGGTTTGTATCCTTGCTAAATAATCACAATAAAACATAAAACTTGAAAAAAAAATTAACCATATCTGTTTTTTACTTACACCATCATACACGATTGTTGGAACAAATTGAAGAGGATTCTGCAAAGATTTTGTAGCTTGTTCGTCTCTTAATTGCAACAATATACCTTCTCTAGAATTCATGCAACTATCCATTCGTTCTTTTGGTAGACCAATTGCCCTGGCACACTAAAATATAAAAATAAAAAAAAAATGAAATAAATTATGCAAAAAAATTCTTCTATTCAATCTATTAAATATAACAATTGCAATTCATCTATTAATCTCGTATATTAAAATTTAAAATCATTTTACATACCTCGTATGCCAAATCATGGGCTTCTCCCTCACTGCGAGGTGATTTTGAAGTCATATAACATTTTGTAAACTCATAATGAATATCTGCATTTCGATCAAATGTATTAATCATACATGATTGTAATTTATTTCCATAACATTCTACAGGTCCAAAATGACAAGCAAATTGATAATCAACACCATTATGAAAACTGTTTGCTTTTCCAAATGGAACAAATTGTATGTCTATATAATTTTTAAGAGCTGGATATGCATCAGGTAATTGATTTCTAAAAAATGCTCTACTATCACCGCATAGTGTTTCATAAAGAACTGTGATCTTCAACTGTAATTAAAACATTTTTTTTAAACTTTTAATTTATTTTTGGTAACAGTTTTAATACAAATTTATATCTTAGAATAACGGTTAATTGTAAAATTTTCTCTTTTCTTTAAAAGAAAAATTTTTTTTTTTGTTTTATTATCTAAGTCCAAGCGGTCTAGCACTAATTAAGATAACAATAATTATAAACATATGGGCTTAATTCAAAAGATTGTCAAAACAATTAAAATTAATTTCTTACATACATACATATGTAAGCATACTAGTACGAGTATGTATATGGAAAAACGTAAATAATATGGAAGTACATAATTATATGTGGAAATGCATATGGAAGTAGGTATTAAAGGAGTTATTTATAAATAAAATAATTAAAGTTTTAATATAATAACTATTTTACTACAACTAAATGAACATGATTATTAACAATATATACATACATATATTATTTTATATTTTCAAAACGTTTAATAGTTTTTTTCTTTATAGTAAGATTGTAGTAAAAGAAAGCTTTGAGTTTTTGCAACTGTGTCTAATAATTCAAAGAGTGTTTTTGATATTTTTGAATATACGAGTACATATTATGTATATAGAGCTACATAATAATTTGTATTTGTGTATAGGGCCATTGCACTTTAAATACATATTCGAATTTTGAATTACCGTGACTTGAAAATTTCAGTTATTATACTGTATTGATATACAATTCAGCTAATATACAATTTATTTCTACAATTATGCAAAATTTGTTATACACTTAATAAGAATATTAGTTACTTTTTATAATTCAATAAATTATTTTTTAAAATATTTTTGCAAAATTTTTTTTATTAAGATTTAGAAGTTGATTATCAGTAATCTACTCGTATAAGTCTTTTACATATATATGTATGTATATACGTGATAAAATGTATAATATAATATCATAGATAAAGCAGCATGTACGTGTATAATTATCAAAATATACGTTTTAATTTAACGTTATTAAGAAATTTCGATTAAAATTTGTGATAGCACATTCATTAATTGTGTTTATTAATTTATCTCTTATAAATTGCTCAAATTATTATATTAAATTTAAATCAAAATATATTGTAAAATATTGATTTTGATATAAAGTTTTCATTTAGTACAATTTTATATATAATTGTAATTGATATTGTAAATATTTTATATAATTATGTAGGACAATTGATGAGAAGAAACATTAAGCCTTTTCGTAAATGCAGTATATCGCAATATAAAGCGATATAAAATAAACAGTAGCGCATTTAAATCATAATACGAACTGGTTTGATTTTATAGAATAATTTTAAAATATTCTCTTATAATTTACAATATTTTTGCAGTAATAAGAAAAAACTTAAAAATTGAACTTTAACTACAACTGTCAATTTCGAATATGCCATTTTTGCAGATTTTGCAGTTGGATATATCGAACGAGATTTATATTAAGACCAAAGTTATAAGAATTAAATTATTGAAAATCCACTTTTATTGCATATTCATCGCATTTGGTTTTTGCAGTAATGTCTTCGTAGTTATTGTTTTGCAGCATTGTGTTTATGACTCTATTTTAGCAATAATATTTTAATTCTATAATAGTCATTATACAAAATTATAATCACAGTATCACCATATTAAATTTTTAAACTAATATAAAGTACCATTTAAATTAGAGTTGATGTGAATATATAATAAAAAACTAATAATACTCGTATATCATTGTTTCAGTTACGAAAATGTAAGCGAAAAAAAAGTGTTGTTTTATTTTTTAAAATAAACCTTGGCATTTTTTGCAAAATATTTTTACATATACCTGTAATTTTAAATGACATTGTGTCTTTTGTCTATTAAATATTTATTATATACCTATGTCTGATACTTAGACAGTAAACACTGCATTGTGTACATATACATTATACGATACTATGCATGTGAGGTAAATTATAAGCCACTATAATTATAACTACTTTTGTCAACGTTCACTATAATTTACAAACTAGCAAAATTCCTTTTTGAACTCTTTTTTATTTTTTATTTTTCCTTAATAATGTTATATAATTTTGTAACATTTTAAATCGTTGTTTCTTTTTTTTTTTTTAATTTACACTTACCGGTTTTTCGCCATATGGTGTTTGTCCATTGATAGCCGAAAATGTTAAAAGTACAAGAAAAAATAAAATCATTATTATGAAAAAATTTAATTCAACTGGATTTGTAACAAATTTATATTCGATAATACTAATTGACTAAGATCACATATGTATGTAAAATATTTCTCAGTTTAATAAATTTTTAAAACCAAGTTTCTCTACTTACGTTCAAAACTGAACTGAAGATTAAAAGAAAAAAATTAAACATTAAATATGTTTTTATTTCGTTTTAATAACTTTGTTTGCAGTCTATATACCGACATTTAATAAACCGGTTAGCTTTTTGTACTCTTGAGATAAGAGAGATTTCTTTTATAATTTGAAGGCAAAAAAAAAGAATATAAACGCGACTATTAAAAAAAGAACGATAACTGCAATTTGAAGATAAAAGACTTTTGTTTTTTTTAGAAGCTTTTTTTGACCGTTTATTATTAAAAACCATTCTTTAGCTATTAAACGTACAATTGATTAAAACAATTACAATGAGGGAAATTCTTAATGATTTCCTCTCTTCACATGATCGTTAATACGATAAAAAAAAATATTGAAATTAGTGCAGATATCAGAGAGGTTATAATATGCTGGCAAAAACACATTAAAATTATTTTGTATAATGTAACATAGCTACGCACTTACTAACATACCATATACTTACTAACATATAAATTGCATTTGCATATAGCAAGTATTTTATGTTGCTATAGTTATGTATACATATTTACGATAAAAATTTATGATTTGTGATTTGTAAGAGATTTGCATTTTGCTTTCCGATATTTTTTTTTTTAATGAAGCTTATGAATTTCACAACATAATTTATTTTTTAGAAATAAAAACAAATAAATAAACGATATATGTAAAGTACATACACATACAACATATGCAACTATTTGTTCAGCGCGAGTATTTATAATTGCAAAAGTTATAAATTTGTACGATATACTCTTGTGGATACAAACATTTATTATGCCAATATTGTGGTGAGGTATAATATGTAAATATGTTTATAATTTACTTTCTAAAGTTAATAAACATTCTGTCGCAAAATCAATGGTTTTAAAAACAACACATTTCACTTTGATATGAATTTTTTTGATCGCTATAAATTGAGAGTTTAAGCTCTCTAACAATATCGTCTCTAGAATAATGGAGGAAATTATATTTTTTGATTTTCGGCAAGATAACGGAATTTATACAATTCTTTATGATATTTTATAGTCCGTAAAAAAATGTATGTATATGAAAAAAAGGTTCCAGAATTTGCAAAACTTTTACAGTCTAGCGGAAATAGACTACGGCTTGAGCTACTTTCGCGGAAATTAAATAATAATTTTATTTAATTTAATCAAAGCCTATTAATGTTACAATTTCAAAGAGCATAAAATTTATAAAGAAACTTATATATGAACAGACGTGTGAATAAAATTAAACTAAAAGGTTTTTTTTAATTTTTCGAAGTCTGCTAAAAAACTAATGATTTGTAAATAAAAATTTCGGTTTTTTCTTTTAAATTTCTTTTCGCTTTTAGGAACAATCGCTTTCTTCAAACTTCTTTTGTTTTTATTTTTTTTTAGCCGGTGCAAACAGACACACATACTTATATTATATATTTATGAACACACCTAGTGTGTAAACTTATACATATGTACATACATAGTAAATTTAAAACATAATTGTTTTGTATATGAAGTAAATGTTCTAATGACGTATAGAAGAGTTCATTAGTTTCTTTACAAATTAATCTGTGAGTTTTGTGTATTTTAATTGTATTATAGATATGTAATTTATAATCAGACAAACAGATAGTATACTTAACTTTACAATTTACTTAATATTATACTTCGTCTAACTTATTGCAAAGTATTTTATAGCTAATAAAGCTATTACTAGCTATAGAATAATATTTATTAAAGGATATTAAAACTATTACTACCAATTCTAACTGTGCTAAGAGTTACGAAAATTTGTAACGGTAAAATTTAATATTTTTTTGTATGTTTGTGAAATTAGTATAAATATCAAATTTATGAGTATTAAATTTATTTTAGGTTTTACTCTTGACTCCATTATAAAATTGCAATTTTAATATAAATGAACACTTTATGTTTCAGGGTCCACAAACAACCTTTTGTTCTATGTAATTTAATTTATAGTGGATATACATATATCTGATTTATTGAAGCAAAAATATAAGAGTATCAATAAAATGAGGGAGGTCAAAATTATAATTAGCGGATTACTTACTCTCGAACTTATATTTTTTGTTACCTGTATTTGTTTTAATAATAACTATTCATTAAAATGGGAGTAGGTATTTGCTATGATTTTATTCCATTGTGCTATTTTTTAAATATAATTTTATATTTAAGTATAAACAGAGAGAACATTTTATTTCTTTTCTGTCAAAATGGAAAAATTTTTCTTCTCTGATAATTTAGTTAATTCTATCGCCTTCACTAGGTTAACGTCGTTGTTGCTTCACATTGTGATTTCAGCCTTTTTTCTTTTTTTTTTACAATAATTGTTGACGTTTCTTATTGGCATTTGACTTTTAAGGGCGAATTCATTGTATTCGCAGCGAATTAAATCATTTATTTTTATTATTTGAGATGTAACTTTTGATAATTTTTATAGAAATAATCTTGAAGATAAAGTCTGTCTGTTTTTTTGAATACAAGTTAAATAAGAAGAATTTGCTAAATCAGTTGGAAAAATGAAGAAAAAAGTAAGTTAGTATTTTAAAATGGCTGAATAATTTTCTTATAATAAATATTTTTAGGTACTACTAATGGGCAAAAGTGGTTCTGGAAAGACTAGGTGAGATAATTTTACGCCTTATTAAATTTTGTAAAAACGTTTTAATTTTATTTTAGGATAAATAATTGTTTAATACATATTTATAATATAGTTTAACATTGCTCAAAACAAAATAACAAAATATTTTTATATTTTCAGTATGAGATCAATTATTTTTGCAAATTATATAGCTAGGGATACTACCCGATTAGGAGCTACGAGTAAAACACAAGTTGTGCTATGAACTTTTCCAAATACTAAATTTTATTTTCTTGCAGTTGATGTTGAACATTCTCATGTCAGATTTTTAGGAAATTTGGTTTTAAATTTATGGGATTGTGGTGGTCAGGAATCTTTCATGCAACAATATTTTGCGTCCCAGAGAGATAATATTTTTCGAAATGTTGAGGTACTAATATATGTTTTTGATGTAGAAAGTCGAGAATTGGATAAAGATGTTCATTATTATCAGTCTTGTTTGGAAGCTATTTTAAATGTAATGTTTATTTTAAATTACGTAGATTTCTAAAACAATATTTTGTTAAAAGCTTTACTAACGATATGATTTCAATTTAAGAATTCTCCTAAAGCGAAAATATTTTGCTTAATTCATAAAATGGATTTGGTTGCTGAAGAACAACGGGATGTAATTTTTAAAGAGCGCGAAGAAGATTTAATTAGATTATCGAAACCTTTGGAATGTACTTGTTTTAGAACAAGTATATGGGATGAAACATTATACAGGTAATGATATAATTTTTAAAAATGTGTGTTAAAAGATAAAGAAAGTTTTTTTGAAGGGCTTGGTCATGTATTGTTACTATGCTGATACCAAATGTTAGCGTACTAGAACATTCTTTGTCTTATTTTTCGAATATAATTGATGCTGATGAGGTTTTATTATTTGAAAAAGCTACGTTTTTAGTTATATCACATTGTCAAACGAAACAATATCGTGACAGCCATCGTTTTGAAAAAGTGTCAAACATTATAAAACAGTTTAAATTATCATGTTCAAAATTAGGAGCAAAATTTCAATCAATGGAGGTTCGTAATAGTGCTTTCGCGGCATTCATTGATACATTTACTAGTAACACTTATGTGATGGTTGTTATGTCAGATGCAAATATGCCATCTGAAGCAACACTGGTAAACATTAGAAATGCAAGAAAACATTTTGAAGAATTAGAAAATCCAAATAGTAATAATGTTCACAATCAGTATCACTGATATTTAAGGAAATCGTCCCTTGGACGATGATTTTCTTTTTATATACTTCCTATTAATATTCTATTTGTTTTTAAAGTTATCACTTAAGATATATATACATACATATAATATATATATTTTTTTATTCTAGCCATGTTATATGATATATGTTGATTTATAGTTTTTTGTTATATACTTAAGAAAACGACCAAATCTTTGAATTACATATTGTTATTCTTTGGTTGTATCTAAAAATTTTTCTTTACATATTTATCTAAAATTTTAGCTACAAAGTTTGGTAGTTTGTGCAGCGAAACTGGCTATTCCAGTCTACCGCATAGATATGCCTACCGTCTATAGATATGCTTACCGCATAATATATAAATATCGCCTTATTAAGAAAGCACATGTATTACAAAAAATGTAGTAATGCATACGAAGTCGTGTTTTGTATGTGAACTACTTTGACTTAGCTTTATTTTAGATATTTTTCTATTTAAGTAAAATTTTGTGATTCAACCTTCGTTTATAAACTATTGGATTCTTGTAAAATTTTTATTTATGTCAAAATAACAAAATATACAATTTTCTTTCTTCATAAACTTTGTAACGCTTTCATATCTGTAACAATTTTGTAAATTGCTCTGATGTAAAAATATGAGTTAAAGATATAAGTATGATTAAGCTATATTATTTATGTAAATCTTTTAATTTCAGGGAAATTTCCATTATCTAAGAAAAAATTGACATTCTTTATTTTAAACTTATCAATTGAAAGTAAATGACAAAATTTTTTATTTGTTTTTCTTATTTCATTTAAAATGAAAAAACTGAAATAAATCTTACTTTCTCTTGTTAATTTTGGAATATTGGCAATTTAATTGGAGTGAGTGATCGTTTACCATTTATAGCTAATTGAATTATCAACACACGTTTTTAAATTTTGTTATCACTTTTATTTGTATAAAAATTTGGATTCTCATTCGAATTCATGTCTCCATTTCTAATAATCTCTGCCGTTTTTAGTAATTTATTTAATCGTTTACCAATTAGTTTCGGATATTTATTATTTTTCAAAAGAAATTCTTTAGATTGATGTTCCACAGCTCCATTTTGTATTTGATATTGGCATAATTTGTTTAAAGGTTCGACCAATTTATCCTTATATATATTATCCCTTTCTAAGATTGAGAGTGATTCTGAAATATCGCATAATCATAAATTATTTTAATAAAAGTTAATTTAACAAATTCAACTACCAGCAGCAGTTTCAAGAGTACTGAGGCAACCTTCGGTAGGTTGAGTTCTTATTATGTATCTACTTATATCGCAAGAAATTAGTTTTACTTGCTTCATCTTGTGCAAATGTGGACTACTTGAATAAATTGCTTTCGCTTGTGGCCATGTTCCGTCAATTAATATTAAATTAAATGGTCCATCATCAGGATTTATTTCTTCTAAGGGTACTGAATATTTACTAGGGTAGAGTAACAAAGATTTAGGCGAAATAAGATATTTTTCAATGTCGCCGTCAAAATGCTGTGATAAAGGTGGTTGGGGAAACTTTTTCCCTTTGAAAATTAAGCATTTCCCTTCGATGAGACCCAATTGTAGCATTGTAGATGTTCTCAAGCAACGTTTTTCTTCTGCTGGATGTTGTAAAATTATTATTTGAGATTTTGGAGACAAAGGCGGTGATGGTAAAGAACAACACCAACAAACAATTTTTGGGCGTCTACAATAAATTCAGCAATGAATATTGAAAAAAAAAAGCTTTTTAATATACGAATCATACTTGCAATGCTCACATTTTTCTCGCTTTTCCGGTGGATCTGCTTCAATTCCTGTTAGATCTTCCCACACTTCAAAATTTTCCATTGCAATAGGCAAGCTAGCCTTTTTTATTCCAAATGTGAAAAAAAATAATACTTTTGTTATGAAAAAGTAATTTTGATGTAGCTTAAATGGAAAAACATGTTTTCTTTTAGAATAACATCAGAATTCAAGTATGTAACCTAAAAGATAACTTCATTTGATTTGAGCCTAGTCAACTAATGTTTTTACAAAGCAGCTGATTTAAGGTAATGACAGCTTTTTATTAGAAATAAATAAAAGAACAAATTGGGGAAATGTGTTGTGTTTCAGTTGTCATTTACTGTTAGGCTTACCATCAATACACTGTCACAATGGTTGTAGTGTTTTTTTGTACTTTGTTTTTGTCAATTCCAATTCCGTTCTTTAAAATGCTGTGGTTTTAAAGAAAAACTGTGCTCATATTTTCTGTAATTAAAATTTATAAAAAAATAGTATACTAAATCAGTATCAATGTATATTTTTCACTTTTTTGAAATAAAGTAGCTGGTTTACTTTATGCACTTATTAATGGTAACTCTTACACATCTTGGCATGCTATGGTGAGTTATGCTGTAAAGAAAAAGAAAGCAAATTGACAGGATTGTTGACAGTTGTTACTCGTTAGTTTGTGGGTTGGTTTAGGATAGATGTAAGATTTAGAAAAGAAAATAGAAAACTTTGCTAAAGCTACAGGGAAATATTTCTCTATATAACTTGTGTAGAAAACTTTGTGAGCTACAGGAAAATATTTCTCTATATAACTTGTGTCACAATTAAAAGGATCAACATATAGGATAAGAAAATGTCACTATTAAAAGGTTCAAAATTTTTATTAAATTCTTTGAAACCGTCATTTAATCCTCTGGTAACAGCAGTTCGATATAGATATCATGCAGAGAAAATTGCAAGAGGTGTGTATTTTAACGGCTTTTTTATGCACTTTAAATAAAAATATAATGTTTTTGTAGGTCCATTGATAAGAAGGTATGGTTATGAAGACAAAATTCTTCAAGAAGGTCTTCTACCACATAAAGATAATGGACGAAAATTACCAATGCCAGAATACAAGCCAAAAAATCCGTATACAGAAAAGCGAGCACATTTTGGGCAAAATGATTACATAGACATTTTAGGAAATGATAAGCTTCATCCAACCAAAGTTTTATATTCTGTACCATCTTGGCTAAGAGGTGTATCTGGAAATGAATATCAAGTTTTATTGAGAAAACGACGTATGATGCAACATACTTTGTATAAATATGCTAGACCAACCAAATGGAATGATTTGAAAAAACGTATAACATATTTGTATAAATTTTTAAATAGAAAAACAAAAACAGGTTTTTCACGACAATAACTTGATTAAAAACTTTTGTTACCAGAATAAAATTTATTATAAGATAGTTCAAAATTTTTTTTTATTTGTTATTCAAAAAATTTGTAGATTTAAGAAAAAATTGCATTTGTAAAATTAATACATTGTGATGAAGCTTGTTTTTCTACATAATATTTTTGTATTTAAATTAGATTTTGGAGTGAATGTTGAAGAGATTGCTATTTGAATCAATTCTGGAGTTTCTGATGTTGAATATAAAATACAATCATATTATGTTAATATGTGTCTTCTCGCTTTGGATTTGGGTTACGATACAATTGATTTGGAAATGCAATCCAAATCTCGAACACTTTCATATGAAAAACCTCTATTATACATACATACATCTAAATATAAACAAATATTTTCGCAAAGAGGTAAAAAAACCAACTTTTTGTTTTATGCAACACCAAAATTATATTTTAAATTATTTCTATCAGAATATAATAAAACTTCTAAAATACTAATTGGACATTTTGTTTCAAAAGTAGATTTACAATCAGTTTTATTTGAGCGAGCTTCATCAATATAATCATCAGACCAATGTTCTTTGTGTGGTAAGCTGAAAAAGAAAATAAAACTAGTATTATTTCTTCAAATATTATTAAACTAAATTCTTAGTTAGTCTAATTCTTAGTTAATCTAATTTTTAATTAGTTTCAAAAAATTTATAGGGAGAATGCATTGTTTCATACTGATATTTTAAAATTGTAAACGCTACAACCCCAGAAAAAAACTAATCGGAAATAAATTTTTTTTTTAAATTAAAGGCGAGTTCAACCTTTAACTCTAATGCTAGAGGGATTCAACACCATAAAGCTCTAACAAGCAGCAATTTTGTAAATTCTTTCAAACCGTATATTTCGATAATTGTCGGCATCAAATTTTAAACAAATATTTTTCTCATTTTCTCCATATTTCAATTCCTTACAATTTTTATATTGTATTGAAATTGTTATACTCCACCTACATACTTAAAACACAATAATATAACGAATATACTTACGTGAATACAATTCGTAATATATCGTGAAGTAAGGACATTCCTCTTGGTAATAAAAAATTTCTAACTTCGCATATTGTTCTAAAAATGCAATATTTCATATTATCAAAACCAAAACTGAAAAAAAATTAATTTTTTTTTTTTATAAAATTGCATTTCAATTTAAATTAGAACAAAAAAAAAACGAGTTACTTACTTTGATGCATAGTTTTCAATTTCATCATAAATAGCACGACGTTCTCTATGACCACGATGATAATACCATTCTTTTGTATGATAATTTTTATTTTTATTATTTTTTGATGATTGCATATTTTCCATATTATTTTTTTTTGATTGCCTCTCTTTTTCATTATTAAAATTTTCATTTCTCTTCATACGAAAATTTTTGAATTTAGATGAAATTAATGAATTCCAATTCGATGGGAATTTATATTTAAATTTATTATAATCATAATTATTATTGTATTGATTTATTGGTTGTCGAATTTTAAAATTTGAATAATAATTTTGTTGCCGATTATAAGTTTTCATTGGTATATAATTGTTGTTGTTGTATTTGTCCTTTAAGAAAAAAAAAATTAATTATTGAGGAAGCTATAAAATTTCAATTATATTTTTGCGATATTTACTACAATTAAGAAGCAGATTAGACTAGCGTTTCAAAAATTATTTAAATTTTTTATTAAATGTAAATAATATTATTCATTAAATTTTATAATATTTGAGATTATTTCGTTGATTTTAATTAATTCAAAGTTAATTTTTGTGGTCAAATGTGGTTTTTGTAAATATTTTAAGTGTTTATGGTAACTTGAATAATGCTGGAAGATTTGATATAAGCAATAATGTATTTATATAGAGAATTACATACAATATGTACTTTCCTGAGTTTATAGTTCATTAACGAAAGAAAATATCTTAATAATGAGTTTTTCATATAATAAATTTGAAATTATGTAACTCAAAAGGATGCTCTATATTTCTGATTCTGATTTTTGAATTACTTTAATTTTTAAAGAAATAATGACTACTTTAATAGTGAATTATTCTAATTTAAAGCATAATACTTTAGTTGATTATGGTCATTATTATTATTTTTTTTAATTTCTTTTACAATATTGTTGAGTATACCATTATATAATTTGAATACATATATGTATGCATGTATGTATAGTAAAAAAATTCCAATGATGCTTCAAATATTAAAAATTTTTTAAAAAAATTTGTATTGTTCAAATAATTTTTTTTTTACCGTATGTAGTTTTTAAAGTTATTTAAAAATTTCTAAATTTACGATAATCAGTCTAAAAAATATTTTTGTAAAATTGATTTTTATAAATATCATATCCCTTTTTACCCATATATTATACATGTAATATACAAAAAAACAAAATGTATAACAATAAAAAATATAACATATTAATTTTTCTAACCCAATTCTTCCATGTATCAGTTTTCTTCTTGATAAATGCAATTCTATTGTAATTTTTAAAATTTCTATTATTTTTATTGAAATTTTTACTATCATCAGATGAACTATCATCCATATCAGCTGCTGATAATGATGATGATGTATCTGATAATGGTGGAGGTTGTAATGATTCTAGTGAATCTGATGGAGTATTTGATGTTTTATTATTTTCATAATCATCATTACCCATCCAATTTGGTGGTGGAGTTTTATATAATTTTTCTGATTCTAGTATATTTGAAGGATTCCAGTAATTGTTATAGTTGGTTAATGAAAATGGATCTAGAAACAAAAAAAAAAGGAATAAAATATATTTTATATACAAAGGGAACAAAATATTTTTTTTTTGTTTCTTTTATATATTTATTACAATTTTTTTTGTAATTGTGAGTTTAAAATAAAAGCTTTAAAGAATATATGTTTGGACGTTTGTGGATATGCATTTAAGTATGTATGTATGTATATATGCATTTGAAATTAAGAATTTATTTTTATTTTAATGCAAAAAGTGAATAGAAAAAAACCATATGGTTAGAAAGTTGTATACTTTAATAAGTATTTTCTTTTGTCAAATAAAATAATTTTAATATATGTAAATAATAAAATTATATAAAAGTATATGTATAAATATACGTGTATATATACATATTTAATAGAATTGCTTTGTTATTTTAATAATTTTTTAATGAATTCAGTTTAAGGTTAATGTTATATGCACATATACATACTTATATATTATAATTTGTTATTAACTAATTAAAATACAGAGAGATTATAAATAAATTCTTTTAAATACTTAATTATTATTTATTATTTAAATGAGCATATTGTCTATAACTATATATATGAAATTTAATATAAATTCGATATTTATATATTTGGGTATACACTCTGTTTATATATAAGATAAAAAAATTAAATTTATATTTAAATTTAAATTAATTACATTAGAAATACAAAATTTTTAGAATTAGAATTTTTCGACTTTATTTTTAAAGCTGAATTAAATTATTGTAAATTTTATATAAATTTTAATTTATGATTTTAAAGATAAGAGCCCCTTAAATTTGTTTAAATGTTCCAAAACATTCAATTGTATTTCTTTTATTGGAACTTTGAAAATTATTAATTAAAAAGATTTGCACTTGAACTCAAATTCTAACTTGAATAATAAAGATAAATTTTGTGTATAATTACGAATCTGCAACAATTTAATACTCGGTTTACTTGTTGCAGATTTTTGAAGTTCTTAACATTCTACGTTTTTTTTAAATTACTTTTTTCTAGTTTTAAAATAATTTTACAGAATTTATAAAAAGAAAATTAAAATTTGATTCAGAAAACCTTAAGTAATGCTACAATTTTCGAATATGCTCTTTTTTGAAGTAAAGAATAATCGAACATACTAATTTTGCAGATATGGCAGATTTATTTATTGATCGCGCTTTATATTCTAGATCTAAGTAAGAACTGAATGATCAGAAATTTACTATATTTATTCCTCATATTATTTTATGAATTGATTCAAATTAAAATTTTTTTTAATATTTTACATTTTTAACAAGTTTAACGAAATTTTCTGGTTTAGCTCCTTGCATTTTTTCTATTTTTACTTTTACTTTTACAGCTCTTGTGAATTATTGAATTGATTGAAAATTGAATATTAGAAATTCAAATATTAAATTTCTGATTATTAGTTTAAATTTTAGATTTTAAATTTTATTTAGCATTCAAAGATACAATAAACATGTGTACAAGAAGATGCATTATTTATTAACCAAATAAGGTACATAAGTAGTTTCATAGAATTTAGTTTATTCTCTTGTACTTGTTCTTCCAAAATTTTAAACTTTTATTTTTAAACTTGTGTTTTCGACATAATATTATTTTTTTTTTCTTTCCTAACGGAAAATTCAGTTATTATATGCGCAATATCAATAATTAACATTATATTTTAATTAATTTTACCTCGATTATGCCCTAGAGATTATTAAACAATTAAATATTTTTTTTCCTAAGTATTTTACACATAATTTTCAATAATTATAATAATATAAAATTATTAAAAATATTATATAAATAATATAAAAAATATTGACTTTTCAACATACCATTCCATGGGTTACTATAAAAATTATGATGATCGAGAATTTTGTGATCATTATTGGGGTTTATCATACCATTACCATTCACATCTTTTCCATTTGTATCCATAGAATTCATATCCATCATTGAATTCATATTCATAGAATTCATATCCATAGGATTCGAATTCATGTCCATAGAATTCATATCCATAGAATTCGAGTTCATGTCCATAGAACTCATGTCCATTGAATTCATATTGTTAAATCCATTCATATTATTCATTGAATTCATATCCATTTCATTGTGATAATGATGAACATCATGATGTGTATCATAATAATTATGATTTGTTGAATTAAATAGTTCATTAGATGGTAATTCAGATGATTTTAATTTATCATTATCAGTTTTATTATCATCATCTGGTATTTTTGATATATCAGGTGGAATTGGATCTTTATCAATCATATTATGAATTGTACCAACA